ACCTTAACTGCAGTGCATTTGTTATGTAAAAGGAGCTTGAAGATTTTGTAAAATGCTTTCATGGCAAGTTCCCAGTAGATTTGAATGTGGCAGAATGAACCAGAAGACCTTACCTTAGCTTTCCGACCAGATAATAACTACTCTTAGAAATCTCTGTCAAAGCTTCAGACGTTTGGGAAAACCAGTATTTTTGAAGAAGTAAGAGTCCTCCTGGGATTTCACAGAGACAGTTATTCAGAAAAATGAACCCAGAATTTTCCACTTAAATCGGCAGATGAAAGTAATGGTGAAGACAGGCGGTAATGCTTTCTTCCCAGAGACGTAGTGCAGTTCTGTTTTTTCCTCCCCAAGCCTCTGTTCTCTGCTCACCTTGAAGATTAGTCCCTATTGCTGTAGCTCATAGATTCATTAGTATATATTGTGGACATACATGTTCAAGGTACTATTACAGTTAGTATAAGAAAGTCAAAAGTACAGGAATGTGTATATAAATGGCATATAGGGTAAAAAATTAGTAGTTTTCCAGAGAAGCCTGGATGGAGAGCTACGCAGGTTGACAGAAGGGGCTGTTTGGGTTTGCAGATCAGAAGACCTCCCTGCCGCAGTGGCAGGAAAGCTCCCGCTGCAGGGCGCTGGGGAGGGTTTGAACATATGGGGAGAGAGGAAAGAACCTGTAGAAAACAATGGGATGGATATCAGGAAGAGCAATTCCTGCACCGTAGCTTTGTGTGGAGTTCCCAGCAGACCCAGAAAGATTTGTCAAAAGCAAATTGCAGAGGGTCTTCCATTCGTGTAAGAACCTTAATTTAGACTTTGCTCTGCAGTGCATCTGCACTGGGGATTTATTTGAGTTTGGGAGGAGCACTGCCCGTCGGTAAGTTTTATTCGTCAGGAGTAGGTAAGATCAATGAAAGGGTGCTAGATCAGATGAAGTACCCTGTTAGGAACTATTACACTGCCCCAGGCAATTCTTAATAGAGAAACTGAACTGCACATCTCTAGCTTTCAGAGCAAAATTGTATTTTATTTGAAAGCATAACTAGGAGTGAAATACAATGTATGAAAATCTATAAAAAGAATATTAGCTAACATTGATTGAATGAGTGTCTACTCTGTGCCCAGCTTTATTTGAGAACTTTGCCATTTATTACCTGAATTAGTTCTTACTATGATGTAGATGAGGACTTGAGACCTAGAGAGTTGGAGTCTCTCACCCAAATCATGCCGTCAATGACTGGCCAGAACCGACTCTCTGTCAGTGTGAATTCACATCACATTGCTTTTACAAGAATTCATGATTGGAAACTTTCAAATAATAACTCCCACCAATGTTCTTGACACAGGACTCATTTTAAAAACATTCATTTTTGTACAAAATGTTTCTGAGGTTGCAGCTATGATATAAAGCTAAGTGAACAACAAGTCAAACCAAATTGTATAAAACAATCATGTTTCAAAATGAGGTGAAATTGACAAGGTTTTCTAAAGTTTGCTGCGCGGTAGTAATTCCTTAGTAGAGTCACATCAATGTGTCAGGCATAAAGATTCTAATAGAAAAACAACTGTCAGCTTTAAAGAAAACACATTGAAATTTGGCCTGAAGAAATCAATGAGTCTTTACTATTAAAAGCCAGTGTTTCCAGTGGTTTGGATCAAATGCTTTTTTAAAAGGGCACATTTGCAACTCACTGAATCAATTTCTGGAGTAGAGTGTGCTCAAGATTGAGATGCACGATGTGAACCCCTTGTGTCTGGAAAGGGAGATTGTGCTTTTCAGATGAAGTTAGAACTTCTGTGCTTACTTGACTGATTTCCCACTGCTCATCACAGCACACTGCGGAAGATAAAAAACACTCTGCACCCTCTATGAGGACTTAATGCAAAGTAGGTAACAGGCATGTCTCCATGAAGAGTTTGGACATAGAATTAGACCTGCGATTAGCAAAGAAATAGCTACCTAATTACAAATTTGTGAAACCAATTCTCACATTGGCCAACAGAGGGAGACACAGGCTATGGAATGTGAGTAAAGTAGATAGAAATGTTCACTGACATTGTATAGTCTAAGGATGGGAAACTGAAGCATGAAAATAGTGGTTTGAAGGGGGGGGTTGTTTGTTTGTTTTTGTTTTTTTTTGCTTGACCAAAATTCTGATACATAAAGTATAACCCATATACTTAACAGCTATGCTCTTATCCAAACCCCAAGTATGAATGTTATGATGTTGTCAAAAGTGAAAGCAGGTTGAATTAATGCCAGTAATTAATTCCTGTCAATTTGTATAATAATATCAAGAATTCTATGAATATGAGTAGAATTTAAGCTTTAAAAAAGAGAAAAGAATCCTTAAAACTTTACAGCTTGCACATAAAGAACCAGTTGCTAGTTTTCACTTTGATTGGGCTATGTGATAAATCATTTAGACCCAAATGTAGTCTTAAGAATGGCCAAATATTAAGTTTTTATTTCTCACAGCTACATGCCAAAAAAAACCGGAAATTAAAATGGCTAATGCTATTTCATCCTTATCTTTGCTTCTTCCCAGCTCAAATGTTAGATGTTTACTTGGAAATACATTTCTATATGTGTTCAAGTGCAAAAAGCAGTCAGAAAGATGAGTGGACCTGTAAATTGAAAAAATTCATATAAGTTATTCCTATCTAGGACAATAGGAACTGGGGATTCTGAAACATTGAATATCAATTAACTCAGAGTTATACTCAATTTACTGCTTTTTAAAAGAACAAGAAAAATGTGTTTAACAGTAAGTTATAATTATAATTTTTTGATTCTGAAAGCTATTTGGATGGTCATTTATATTATTTCTCAAAAATTGATTTATTTTACTTCCTAGTGGTTTGATTATGAATAAATGAAAGTAAATGATACTTGACTTTACATGGGTGACTATGTCTTTTTCTCTACATATATTTCAATAAATGTTGAAGCTCTTTGAAATCAAGATCTCTTTCATTCAATTCCTACATACTCCTTGATTTCTGTTTATTTAATGACTTTTAAACAAGTTTAATTTTCACTTCATTTTAAAAATTCAAATTTTAATTTTTGGTGAAAACATATTCAGTGACATGGAGCCTAAAGGAAATGGAGAACAGAATCCTCAACCTCGTTCTCTCTGTAGGTTTCCAGGCACTGTAACCTCAGGGGTTCATTTTCCATATCATAAGCTAGTCACAGTGGCAGCTGAGTTCAACAACGATGCATGTTTACTAAGCAAAGAAAACAGAGATAGCTAACAGCCCATAAAGAAAAAGGATAGATAGCTAGATAGTGTGACTGAAGGTCACAAATAACTTCCAAATCCAGTGGGTAGTTGTATCCATTCCCTCCTCACCACCCCCCATAATTACTAACCTAAAAAAGACAACTTTGTGTTTTCTCCATTGATTTTTCACTGCCTATAATCAAGCACAAGTACTAATGAGTAATGAAATAGCCCAAAGCAGACAACGGAGTGGAATAAAATGAATTTGATTAATCAATCTGTCCTGAATAATCAGAGGCTATAATACCTGTGATACATCTAAACAGTGGGGAGATTTTTCATTAAAACAGGACTTAATTTGGGACCAGTGTGTCTTGGAAAGGTCCTTAATTACCTCTCGACCATCCTCCGTAATCACCTATGTTTCACCAAAACTTACAATCAAGCTGAAATACAAAATGAAAAGTTTTCTTCTTAAAACTCTCTCTTTCAGGGACAATGCACCATCCTTGTCTGCCTCCCTGTCCATTCCTATTTTAGTCCCCACTCCGACCTACTTACCTTTCATTGTGGGCTCCCAAGACTCCTTTCTCTCATTTTTCTGTTATACTTACATGAGACTAATTCCATCTGTTAGTTTCACTTGTTCCTTTGTGCGGACAAATCCTTATCTCTAGCTCTAAGACCTCACCCAGGCTGTAAGCCTCTTATTCTACCTCTGTTTTTGAGGTTCAGGACTCCAAACCTAAAAGTACTCTCTGGCACTGCCTTCCTCGTCTCTTCCACCTGATTCTGTAGTCTGGGTCCTTGGTCCCAGCAGCCATCCCTGACCTGTGTCATCTTCCTCATGCAGCCTGGGCTGCGGAGTGGCCTCCAGACTGGTGCTGCCGTCTTCACTCCCCTCCACTGCTCGTCTGTTCATCCTACTGAAGCCACAGTGATGTTGTCAAAATGTGAATCTCAGGCCATGCCAGACCTTCCTCAGAACCGGAGGAGAGCCACACCCAGCCTCCTCTCATGCCCCCTTTGAACTGGCCAGCCCCGGCTCTGCTCTGTCGTCCCTCCTCTCACACTCCAGTCCGCATCATTGCAGTAGATTGGCAGTTGATCTTTTTATTGAATGCTCTTTCTGAATTTATTCTTTGTCTGTTAGTTCAAGTTCATATTTCTTGGTCTGGTATTAAAACATGTACCTAATGTTTTTTACCTTATCTTTAGTTACTCACCATGCCATTACTTAGCTTCAGTATTGTCCATTTCTTCACTGTCCTGTTCCTCACATTTATTCTTGCCCACCCTCCCTACATCTGCACACCCATCGTAATACTCGGCACTTTCTCACTTCCGGGCCTCTTTCCTCCATTCCATTCTCCACACCTGAAGTAAAGTACCCTTTCTGTTCATTTCAGTGAATTCAAAATTGACTTGTTTTTCTTCTGTACTTGGATCTACTTTTAAGACCTATATTGGTTTCTCTTTTTTATATTTTTACTGTATGAATTACCTGTGTTTTATAATTTACTTGCTTTTTGGTTTATTCTTACTAGCCAGTTGTTTCTAATATGCTTGTCAGTTCTCAAGATACTTTAATTTAAGGCCCTCAAGGATGAAATAGGGTCTCATGTATGGCTCCTGGCAAACATTATTTACTGTGGAACCAATCAGATAGTCACTGTGGTTTCCTTGATTTGGAATTTTATGAATGTTACCTACATTTTTTTTCCTCAAAGCCTCTGTCTTTGAATATTTAAGCCTTGTCTCTTTTCCTCCTAGAAATCCATTTATTAAACAACATTCAACTTTGTGAACCTGAAGAATTTTGACCGTTTCAAGTCTTAATGCCACACCACTACTCCTGCGAATTTACGACTGGTAACAATGACCAGAAGCCTGAAGTGTTAAAATGCCAACAACAGACCCTACCTTAACAGCTCTGGTCTACTCTGTTCCCTCGCATTTTAATATATTGTTTTGTTTTATAACCACTCCTAAGTAATCTTGGTTCTTTCTTCCTTTTTTATTTTAATTAGGGAGTTTTGTTTCCTGTTTACTTTGTGTACAACTACCTGCTTTTTATGACTCAAATGATCCAATGATAGTGAACAAAGCCAGCCCGGCTGGTGAGGTGCTGTTCACTGGAACAGGTGCTGTTGTGCGGAAAGAAAACGCTGTGACTAACTTAGGTAGTGTCTTTCCTCCTTCCCATTCCCACTGAACTCCCACCAATTACAGCAAATATTTACAGTTTTCAAATTGCAGTAAATATACTGTATGAGAAAATACTAGTATGGATTAAAAGCATTTCTTACATCTCAAAAACTTTCTAATGTTTTAGAAATTCATTGGGAATATCTTTTATGGGATCCCTTTTGACTTTCCAGTCCTGTGACTTTTTACTGTTAGTAGAAAGTCAGACTCCAGACTGGAGAATTATGCAGAAGCTCACTGACCACGTGCTGTTTGCGGAGACCCCGCGGCACCACAGTGCCAACGCCTCTCAGACACGCTCTTCGGCAGCATTCCAGAAACAGGAGGGAGGAGCAAGAGGCAATGGTGTCTTCCCTCCTACTGAAGTATTCAGGCAGCTTAAAACCTTATTAGTGCTTTCTTTCTTAACATGTCCAAATGTCAGTACTTTCCATTATTTGGACATTTGTGTAGAACACTTGCTTTGTATTAAACCTCATTGTGTACATGTGAAACTGACCTTTTATTATTGAGCAGGTCTGTCTCTCTCAGATAGTGGGAAACACACAGGTTTGAGGGCACAGGGGAGAGGAGGAGTGGGTAGGGCTGTGGTGGTGTTTGGATGGGCATCAGAAAACTAGACTGTTTGAAGCTGACACCAGAGATCTGATAGGGACTTATTAACTGTATGGAACATTTTCCCTTTGCTTTTGACCTGATGTATAGTTATGATGCCATATTAGATTTATAGCAGCTTCAAGTTGTATTAAATGATATTTTGCTTTCTGTAATACTGTTATAAAATAAAGTTGGTTTATTCTCTAGCCTTGTCATTTCTTTTTTTATAAAGGTTTAAAAAAATAAAATCAAGGGATAACTCCAGCCAGAAGTCCTGTTATTTTATGGGATGTAGCATTTTTAGAGTCTGTTATTCAGATCTTTGATAATTTGATGCTGCCATCATCACTGATTTCAAGTGGCCAAGGCAATGTTAAAAGTTTGTGAACCTAATGTTTACAATGCCAGACTCCTCCTGCCTGGTTACATAATCCACCCCAGCTTTGACTAAATTGAGCCGAGCCTTAGAAATATTCTGGAATCAAATGTGGTTCTGTAAATATTTTCCATCGGAAAGCTTATATATATAACATTCGTATTTAAAGCAGAGGGTGATCTTGCCAGGGATTTTGAACAGTGTCTTTCCATACTGCTGAAGACAGGTGCAGCGACAGGAGGCGTGTCTGTGGCAGCTCCAGTGGGACAGGAGATGCCGAGGTCAGTCAGGGCTCAGGCTGGCTCAGGGCGTGGGGCCCCAGAGAGGTCGCCACACCTGTGGGGGAACAATGCTGGTGACGTCACCTGTGACTACAGCAGCAAGGCTGTTGTTGTTTTTTAAATATTTTGTATTTATTACCAACTATTTCTCAGGATGTTATAATCTCTATAAACTGAGCTTTCGAAACCCCAAAGGATAGAAGAAGAAAGGAGGCCCGCAAGGTTCACTGAGGGGAGACATCCAGGTACTAATTGTATATCAAGTCAAAAGCAACATAACTTGTGGGTGATAAGCAATAATTCCTTTTAGTTGCACAAGGTTTTGACAAATATTATTTTACGTAACTCTTCTAGCCATGCTGTGTAGAACACAGGAAACAAAGAAATGCACTTTCCACAGTCACAGCAGGATAAAAAATAAGGTTTTTAAAAAATGTGTAGAGCTGGTAGATTGTTGGTATTTCACTATCTTGAGTAGTTTTTTCTTTATGACATCCTGTAGTATTACTCATGGCATTGACCACAGTCCATGCAATAATTACCACCAAGACTCCGGCAATGAAACAAACTAGCCATAAATACTGCCTAGTGTGAACTTCATTAAGTATGTCCTTATTTATGGATAAAATTATATGATGTCAGGCTACTATAGGAATAAGAATAATATGAAGATAGGAAGGAGTGAGTCGTCGTTTAAATTAAACAACATTGGCCATGAGTTGGTAATTGCTAAAGCTGGGATTCATTGTATTATTTTGTCAAAATATCCCATCATAAAGGCTAAAAATGCCACCAAGCCCCATAATTTTAAACAAGTCCTTTCTCCATGTATTGCAGAGCAAACATTTTTCATCATATGGTGCTTGGCTCAGTTTCCACGAAGGCTCACCCACTTGCGTTAGCGGTTAGGACATGTGAGTGTCACCGCTGAGGCACTAAGAGTTTTTTCAGAAGTCAACACTGTTCAGGTATTCGCTGGGATTAGACCATGCTGGAGAGTTGGCCCCAGAAGAGAACATGATCAGCTGGCAAATCCTGACCCTTGGCTACAGGGTTAAAAATAGTGACCTATGTATATTTATAATGTCAAATTAGATTCATAGCAGCTTCAAGTTATATAAAACATTTGCTTCAGGCACACTGGCCTCGGAATCCTACAGATAGACGTTTGAATCCCCTACTCTGAGTGACTGAGCCATGTGACTTTAACGAAGGCACATAAACATTGATGAGGTGAGGGTAATAATATAACCCAATATGGGGGTATTCTGGTGGTCAGATGAAATAAAAATGTATGAAATGCCTCGCAGAGCTCCTGGCACAGTAATGCCCTCAACAAAATGGTAATTGTCATGAATACTAACAAGACTATGTCCAACTGAACCCACCACAGGCGAGTTTAAGATCACCCCCAGTCTGAGCTGTGTTCTGGGAGGGCTGTCCATCGTAGAACTCTCTCCTTCACGAGGTGACTTGGGAAGCCTGATGGGGAGGTTTGGCTTTGGAGGTAAGGGACCCGCCTTCGCTGAGCCCCGCGTTGTCAGGAACCCTTTATGCTCCTCTGCTGTGGAGGCAGCTGAGCTGGCTGGTGTAAGAGGCACAAATCCTTTCTTAAGATTCTGGTTGTAGACTTCCTAACCGCAGATTTCAAGGAGCTAAGCTTTTCCCCAGTATATGCAAAGCAATGGTTATGTGCATTTTTCTTAGAGATAAAAGATGATTCCTGGCTTTTGTCAAATTCTCATAAGTCTTTATTATCTAAATTGAAGGTTAGGAACCTCTGCTCTTAATCTGGGTTCAGAATGTGGATTTGAGAAATTAAATGGAAAGAATATTTTAAAATTCCCAACCTGGAGGTAATTTTTTTTTTTTGAACACATGTCTCCGTTCTGTCACTCATTTGGCAGAGTGGACTTCATTGTGCAAATTCTGACAAACTCAGAGGCCTCTCCTGGTTACATACTAATTAGTCAGAAAGCAAGAATCTCAAACGCATTTTGCTTTGAAAATATTAACTTTTTATAAACAAATCAGAAAATTGATTTCTCAAAAGTGTTTAACAGGCATGAATTGTGATTTCCAAGACACAGTTTTGCCAAAGTACTCAAAATGTCAAGAAAAAGTTGTTCTTGGTATATGGAAGTGTTTCTCTGTTTCTGCTTTTCCAGTTGCTACTAAATGGTATCTAGAAACTACTGGAGGCTGTTTCCTTATCGGTTTAATTATAAGTAAGTTTTTATTTTTTTAAAAAAGGGTTGCAAGCAATATTTCAGGGCACATAATGTTTGCCCTTATCTAATGTTCTTTTTTGTCTACATGCACAGTTTCAGGATATGAAGGACAGGTCTGGGCTTGCAGTATCCCAGGACCAAGTTTCCAGCAGGAGAGATGGAAAGGTAAGATTAGCTGCTTTAGGTTAGCTCTGTGGGGAAATTTTTTTTTCTTTGGTAAATTTTCATTGAATAAATGGCAACATAACAAAGCTTAAAACATCCATTACAGTGTTTTATTGAAGGTCTCCTGTAGGGGAAACAATTGGGAATTCTTTCAGATATGAGAACATTTGGAGTGAGATTAGGAACTGTTGAGGTGAGAGCATGTATGGCCCCTGCTGAAACGCTGTGGAGCACAGGAGGGAATAGAATAGGTAGGACAATGTGGGAAGACTGCTGGCCTGGTCTAGGGCAGCCACGATGAAGGGCCAAAGCCGTGTGAGCTGGAGTGAGATCACCGCCTGTGAGCATGTGAAGAGCAAAGGTGTGGCCATGCAGCTGGTTGGCTGTGCTCTGTAGAGGTTTTGTCAAATTGGGTAGCAGTGTCTACAAGCAGATTGTCGTGAAACCCTAGACTTGGGAAAACTAACATGTGTCTGTCCCTCCCCACACACAGAAACCTTCGCAGACCTACTCGTGATTTTACTGGAAAGTCCTTCCTCTCGTCTTACTCAACAGCAACAAAGGAAATAGGTCTTGCTTTAAACTACTTGGTTATACTTATCATTGAAAGCATGTATGTTTAGAGCTCATCTGTTACCACTGTGGCTGGCAAGGCAGAGATGGCTGGAGTGGCATCCACCAAAGCCAAGAGCCTGGCTTCCAGAGTACTCGCTTCCAGAAGGTGAACAAACGCTGGGGGCCAAACTGCAGATTTGGCTGGCAGCTGGGAATACTGTGCGTCCTTCCACGCCTTCTGTTCCAAAAGCATTTTTACATAAGCTGACTTCCACCAGGGGCTAAAAAGAGATCCCCGCAGAACTGAAAGAATATTGTTATTCCTTCCATATGGCACGGATACTGTTATTCTAATATTACCCCAGTCTGAAAGCCCCAGCAGACATTTTCATTGTAATCAGATGCAATAAAACATGGAAATGAGTGTCTTCCGTCAAAGGGTGAATTTCCTGTTTTTCAAGTGCAAATGGAGTCCAATAGCTCACTGGATGCATATGAAGAACTTGAGGGGAGGGGGAAGAAGCAGAAAATACTCAGCATTGGTGGTGGATTCTTGCTTTTCTTTCCTTCGTCATCCATGCAATCTTTTGTGTGGTTGTATGTCACTATGCAAAATTGGTGCATTTCTCACAGGTGACCAAGTTCATGTGTTTTATGAAGTTAATCACTCTAATAGCTTGTTAGATTCATATATAAATATTGGAATATAACCAGACTTACACTTAGGACATGTTGAGCATCCTTTGTTAATGTTAACTAGAAAACTGGAAAGCACAATAGTAATCACTATTTTAACCACCACTTTGAATTAACTGTTTAGGTTATCTGTGTTGTCTCTTTGAGCCCCCCCACCCCCATCCTCCTCACCCCTGCCATGCCTCAATCATTTTCTTCCCTTTGGCTTTTATTATGTTATTATTTCCATCTTTCTGCGTTCTCTGTTCTATAGCTTCAACTGTTACCTCTCTCAGCAATGTCTCTGAAAGAGAATTCTGTTGGGGAAATGTGGACCTCTCTCATTTAGAAATAGCTCCCTGATGTTTTGGTTTCAAAGGCAAAGACTTGAATTATTCTCCTCATGAGTTACAGGAACACTCTGCTCTCCTTTTCCCAACATCAAATTGCCAGTATTTCCAAGTCCCATCATGCCGAAAGCTGTATTCATGGGTGCAATATTGAAAGGCTGCACTTGTTTTGTGATTTGATAATGTGATTGTGAAAGCAACTGGGAAAAGGAGAAAGGCAAACTCAGGGCCAGAACGATGCTTGAAAAGGTGTCAAAGGCTGTCGAAGTGCAAGAGGAGGAGGTGGGAACCCTCACAGGGAATCCCAGGAGCCCCCAAGGCATTCGTGTTTTGCTGTCTATCTGATCTCTACCAGAGTTTCTTTACCTCTACAATAATGTGGACTTGCACAGGGTTATGTCATATGGATTTTATTTTTAAAATATGCCCTTCAGAATAAACATAGTCCTTTAAAAGGTAGAAAGTTGCAAGGTGTCCAGTCCATAGAGCACCTCCAAGAAAAGCTTCTATTTTTGGTCCTCTCTGAAGAACTGCTATGTAAGCTGAGGCTCAAAGAAGTCTTCTTGGGTAGTA